GATCTGATGAAGAAACTCTCTTGCGTTGAAGTACTCGATCACTCTTCACTCCGGCAGGGCTTCGCCTCTTCTCCAAAATTCCAGATCTCAAAAAATGAGGCCTAAGGCTTGTATTTATAGGCATAAGGGGTTGCGGAGCGGTTAAAACGGGCTAAAGGCCCAAATCTGCCTTAGAGGGTGTCTCTCAAAATCCGGGACACCCCTGGGGTGTCTCAGAAAATCCGAGACACCCCTGGGGTGTCTCGGAATTTCCGAGACACCTAAGGGTGTCTCGGAATTTTCGAGACACCCTTGGGGTGTCTCGGAAAATCTAAGACACCCTTGGGGTGTCTCGGAAAATCCGAGACACCCCTGGGGTGTCCTGGAAAATCCGAGACACCCCTGGGGTGTCTCACATTGGCCGAGACATTCCGTTGAGGTGCATTCGTCCGCTTCCGCTGTAAATTCTTCGTCCGAACTCGGATTTTAGTGATTCGAAGTGCGTTGGAAGTCTGACGAAGAGTTCTATCAGCTCCGATGGTTGGATTATCTGTAGGATGAACGAGACACGAAGGGCGTTGTTCCTTTTGTAAACATCGCGGGAAACCGAAGTTCTTCCGGCGCTGCGTTTATCGCCTGGCCGTCGTCGGAGTCTCGAGTCTACAGCTGATGAATTGAGTTTGGCTCGTGTCATTGAGTTGACTTTGAACTAACTCCGTCGCATTGTGTTGACTTAGGGTTTCAGATCACCGTATGTTGACTTTTTGTCGCAACGCGTTGACTGGCGTTGACCTAGGGTTACGCGTTGACCGGCGTTGACCTAGGGTTACGCGTTGACCGGCGTTGACCCTAGGGTTTCGAACGTCGAACATTCACTTTTTGGTCGCAACGCGTTGACTGGCGTTGACCTAGGGTTACGCGTTGACCGGCATTGACCCTAGGGTTTCGAACGTCGAACATTGACTTTTTGGTCGCAACGCGTTGACTGGCGTTGACCTAGGGTTACGCGTTGATCGGCGTTGACCCTAGGGTTTTGAACGTCGTTCGTTGATATCGGGGTTGCGGGACCAACTGTTAAAGCTGATTCATCTGTATTTGTGGATCTTATTTTAATGTTGTTGGATAATCGGGTCACGAGACCAACTAATAGAGCTGATGCATCAATGACTCGTACTTATAGAATTTTTGGCAAATTCTCAGCCATCAACGGGTTTGATGAGCCTTTACCGACTACCGTTTGAGTCGGGCTAGCATGCAGATTGTTTAGATCCATTCTGTACATAACGTTGTGCTAAAAGAGTTAACTCTTTTAGTGCTACGACATTGAGTATGTAGACTTCGTCTTTCTCACGGGAATAGACTACCCGGCAACGCGTGTTAGGCGCTGACTTATCCTTACTTAGGATTCAGGATAAAAATCCCCAGACTCGGATTCTGGCGTCTTCTTCAATCGGTAAAAGACTAAACCGACAACGCGTGTTAGGCGTTGACTCATCCCTCCTTAGGCTTCGGGATGAAATTCCCCAGACTGGAATTCTGATGTCTTCTTCAATCGGTAAAAGACTAAACCGGCAACGCGTGTTAGGCGTTGGCTTATCCCTGCTTAGGCTTCGGGATAAAATTCCCCATGCGTGTGAGGCACGGATTATGGTGTTATTAATAACAACCTGCCACAATGTTGAATATGTGGTCTTTTGTCCTTTTTACGGTCAAAGACTAACCGGCCATGTGTGTTAGACATAGACTTTAGGATTTTTGGCAACCCCCCAGCCATCAACGGATTTGACGTGCCTTTACCGATTACCGTTTGAATCGGGCTAGCTTGTGAATTATTAAAACCCGTTTCACATGTAACGTTGTGCTAAGAGAATTGCTTCTCTTAGACTTAATGTTATGATTTTGAATACATAGACTTCGCCATTTCTTACGGGAATATGGCATCCGGCAACGCGTATTAGGCGTTGACTCATCCCTACTTAGGATTCGGGATGAAAGTCCCCAGAATTGTACTCTGGTGTCTTTTTCAATCGGTGAAAGACTAAACCGGCAACGCGTATTAGGCGTTGACTCATCCCTACTTAGGATTCGGGATGAAAGTCCCCAGAATTATACTCTGGTGTCTTTTTCAATCGGTGAAAGACTAAACCGGCAACGCGTGTTAGGCGTTAGCTTATCCCTGCTTAGGCTTCGGGATAAAATTCCCCAGACTGGATTCTGGTGTCTTTTTCAATCGGTGAAAGACTAAACCGGCAACGCGTGTTAGGCGTAGGCTTATCTCTATTTAGGAGTTGAGATAAAATTCCCCGTGCACAAAGTGCACGGATTGGAAGTTGGGAATTGTGTCTTTTCTCAGGGTAAAGACGGACTGGAAAATGGAAGAGGAAGAATTTTATATTCTATCTCCCGGCACTGAAGAGGAAGAATTTTATATTCTATCTCCAGTTGGAAAGGAAACTCAAGGTGGGATCTACACCCCCAGAATCCGAAATGATGAAACTAAGAGTGGGATCTCCACTCCGAGAATCGGAAAGATTCAAACGACCCTAACTTTTATAGGATTGGTCATTCGATCCAAAAAGAGTCCCTCATTTATTGAGGAGAAAGCCCAATTTCGACCCTAACTTTTATAGGTTTGGTGGAAAAAGAACAAAAGCAGATTTTCGTTTATCGAAAAGGAATGACTCGGTCTTAGTCCTAACTATTTGTAGATTTGACTAAGTGAGATCGGGAACAATCCTAACTTTTATAGGTTTGACTGTTCGAATTGAAAGTGGACCTCTCGTTCATGGAAGGAATCGAGAGAGGAATTTAGCTTTGGCCCTAACTTTTATAGGTTTGACCTGAAAGCAAAGAAAGTGGAATACAGGTAGCAAAGAAAGTGCCAACTCGTATTATCACTCAAAGGAAGACTTTAATGCTAGGTGATTAGGACCTAACATGTTGAGTCTGAGAAATGCCAACGACGGGCAGATGGAAATGTTGGTGGATCCACCGTCAATTAGTTTGATCAGCAGATGGTTTGGTGAGGAAAGATTAACCTATCAGAGGATTGGATCTCATCTCACAAAAATAACTCATAAGAGTTAGAGAATTTTGATAAAAATAAGAAGAAACATTCTGACATTCAGAGTTCGAACGTAGATTTCTTATTCATCAATTCTACAATGACTGGGTTATCCCTAAGAATACCCATGTGATATTCTTCTGGGAACTTCCCGATACATTGGTTATCCTGAAGATACTAAGGATAGTATTTTTTCAGGAACTTACCGTTTATCGGCATCATAAGCCGGTCACCGTCCTTGGTGACAAGGCGATATGCGCCACTCGAGTAGACTGTCTCCACTACGAATGGTCCCTCCCATTTGGGTTCAAATTTACCCTTCTTCTTGGAGTTAAGGATCATAGGCCGCCTTTCAGCTAGAACCAAATCCCCTTCTTTGAAACTCCTTTGTCGAACCTTTTTGTCGAAGGCTCGAGAAATTCTAGCTTGGTAAAACTCAATATGCTGTTGAGCCACCAGGCG